GTGCGTGGGTGTAGTTCTGCAAACTCTCTGTAGTGTGTGTGTGCGTGGGTGTAGTTCTGCACAATCTCTGTAGTGTGTGTGTGCGTGGGTGTAGTTTTGCACACTCTCTGTAGTGTGCGTGTGCGTGGGTGTAGTTCTGTACACTCTCTGTAGTGTGTGTGTGTGCACTCACCGTTCAATACTGTTCACAGTGATGGGCTGCAGCAGACTCTTCTCCGTCTGTAGATTGACCAGGAATTGGCTCTGTGGTAAGGCAAAGGCACACACACACACGTGGTTAGTAGTTGTCGGCCGGCGATACAGTTAAAGTAGGTGAAACCGTAGTTGCGCAGTGACTAGATGTTTTAGGTTTTTATGTAGAAAACCCATAAACCCTAAAACCTTAAAAACCTTTTACCCAAAGTATCGGTACCGAAATGCTCTTGGATATGACGGCACATGGTCAATGACACGCACTTGCACTGCGTCTACACATGGCCATAGTGTGTTCGTGTGACCACTGCTTAAGCAAGCTTCATATAGTGCCCAATGCCAATGCCTGAGTGAGACTGGTACTTGCACGTGATGCCCGAAATATAGCATGCATAACACACATGGGGTAATTACACAACATACAAGGTATATATCGACAGTTCCTTTCGTCACGTACACATCGGATGTGCTGATCCGCAAATGGTTTCTGCGCTCAATTTTTTAAACACACGCGAAAATACGCACAACAAAAAGACAAAAACTTAAACCAAAAAAACAACACAAAACGAAAACACACACACAAACACATTGTGAAATGCCTAGGCTAAGGCTCACACAATGCCAATACACACACACACACCCTCTTTCGTCTTCTATATATATACACACTCTCTCTCTCCCTCTCTCGCTTTCTATATATACACACACTCTCTCTCTCGCTTTCTATATATGTACACACTCTCTCACACACGCTCTCGCTTTCTATATATACACACATACACACACTCTCTCACTCAGTCAGTCAGTCAGTCAGTCAAAACGCACACACTCTATACACACATACACACACTCTCTCTCTCAGTCAGTCAGTCAGTTAGTCAACACACACACTCTCTCTCTCTCACTATATATATATATATACTCTCTTTAAGTGCTACTGTCGCACATACTCACACTGTGCGCGCGCGCGCGCTATTTTTGCACACAGGCCGTAAGTGGCAACAAAGGCACTTTTTAGAACAGCGAATGTACAGCGAAGGGACGTACCACAGTGACGTCTGGGTTGAACAGATAGTCTTGGCTCAACAGCTCCGCCACAGACTGCGGTCGCATACCAGCCACATGGGAAGCAATCTGGCGGGCAATGGGACGCACAACCTCAGCACTACACAGGGACAAGCGGGCAAGTGGGGTGAGACAGGGAAGGGGGATACAACACGTGCATGAGAATAGAATAGAAATAGACAGAAATAGACAAGAGTAGAAGCATGTGGTGATAGGAGAGGTATAGTATAGTCATATGAGAATATACAAGAGTAGAAGCATGTGGTGATAGGAGAGGTATAGTATAGTTATATGAGAATAGACAAGAGTAGAAGCATGTGGTGATAGGAGAGGTATAGTATAGTTATATGAGGATGTACAAGAGTGAAACATGTCGTATTATGAAAGGTATAGTATAGTTATATGAGAATAGACAAGAGTAGTAACATATGGTAATAGGACCCACACCTGCATAAAATGGGCTACATACCTTCCTGGTTCGGAGTTGAGGGTTACCATGGTAACGATCTTGCCGCACTGATCCTTTGAGCCGTGCACATAGCCTGCGAGCACTCCTGTATCCTGCGGTGCAGTCTAAATGTACATAAACGTAACAAATGAATAAAATAAATTAACTAATAGGTATAAATGAACAAATGCAATGGGTGTAAACGTAACAAATGAACTAAACTTATTAACTAAAAGGTACAGATGAATAAATGGAAAGTACGTAAACGTGACAAATGAATAGAAGCAACGCAACTAAAGCAGAAAATGAATAAAAGGAACGTACATTAATGTAACCTATGAAATAGCTGCCATTAAAAGAAATGTACATAAATGTAACCCATGAAATAGCAGCCATTAAAAGAAATGTACATAAACGTAACCAATGGAATGGCTCCCATTGAAAGAAATGTACATAAACGTAGCCCATGGAATGGCTGCCATTGCACTTACCACAACACTTGCCCTCCTGGCTGTGATTCGCTCGCCTAGTTTGCCCACCAGTGCGTCTATGCGTGTTTGTAATGTCTGCCCATCGCCCATATCTGAAAAGGTATGCAAGAAACAAGTGTAAACAAAATGTAAGTAAGAAACAAGCGTGTGCAAACACACGTAGGGGCACATACAGAGACAGTCCTAGAAGACACTGAAATGGATAAGCCAACTCAGCAACCAAATGAGTTTGTATACGGAAGCCTCAATGCAGAAACAAACCCATTTATCCGGCACTAAGCGCACCATGTGGTACACGACACACTGACACTGAGTGATATCTACCTACACTCCTAATTACTCCAACGGTGTCTGTGCGTTCATGGACTGAGTGATATCTACCTACACACCTAATGACTCCAACGGTGCCTGTGTGTTCATGGACTGAGTGAGATCTACCTACACACCTAATGACTCCAACGGTGTCTGTGTGTTCATGGACTGAGTAATATCTATCTACACACCTAATGACTCCAACGGTGTCTGTGTTTTCATGGACTGAGTGATATCTACCTACACACCTAATGACTCCAACGGTGTCTGTGTGTTCACGGACTGAGTGATATCTACCTACACACCTAATGACTCCAACGGTGTCTGTGCGTTCATGGACTGAGTGATATCTACCTACACACCTAATGACTCCAACGGTGTCTGTGTGTTCACGGACTGAGTGATATCTACCTACACACCTAATGACTCTAACGGTGCCTGGGTGTTCATGGCGTATTGCGTGGCGGCTGTCTGCACCAGTTCCCTGAATTCTTGGTTTTTGGACACAAAGTCCGTTTCACAGTTGACCTCCACCACAGTGCCAGTCAGTCCATCGGCACTGATGCCCAAACCAACCACTCCCTCTGCCGCTACACGTCCCTCGAGCTTAGCAGACTAAGGAATATAGCAGAGACACAACAAGAGAAAATGCCACAGATCAGTGGTAATATACACAGGAAAATGCCACAGATGATTGGTAAATGGTACAGGAAGAGAAAATACCACATATGAGTGGTAATAGGCACAAGCAGAAAATGTCACAGATCAGTGGTAATAGGCACAGGGAATAAAATGCCACAGATCACATGGTGATAGGCACAGGGAATGAAATGCCACAGATCAAATGGTGATAGGCACAAGGAGACAAAATGCCACAGATCAGTTGTAATATGCACAGGGGAGGAAATGCCACAGATCATTGGTAGTAGGCAAAGGGAGAGAAAATGCCACAGATGAGTGTTAATAGGCACAGACGACAATGAACCCGGCATGTAAGATGGATGTTTAATATTGTGCGGAAAACTATCAATGCGATACAAACAACATCACATTAAAAACCACTAAAACGCTTGCCACATAGGTAGATGATTCTCGCATCTAGTCATTTCTGCATAGATAGGTGTTCCCCATATATAGTTATTTTCCCGTACATAGTTTTTTTCCCCACACATACCTATTTACCGTACATAGCTATTTTCCCACAGATGATTATTTTCTAACACATACCTATTTTCCAGTCCATAGTTATTTTCCCGTGGATACTTATTTCCCACACACCTATTTCCCATACATAGTTATTTTCCCACACACCCCTATTTTCCAACACATAGTTATATTCCCCCCCCATACCTTGGCTGCCCCATCGGCCTGCATGCGTTCCTGCAGCCACTCCAGCGCCTTGTCGTAGTCATTGGCCGCTGTGACTAGAGCCTCCTTGCACTTTGACATTGACAGCTCAGTGTCCTTTCTCAGTTTGGACAGCAACTTGGTGTCCACTTTCACAGGAGTACTGAACAACCGCTGAGTGCGGAAGGCTGAGGATGAAACGGCCGTAGTAATGAGCTCAGAAGTCAATGATTGTGTGTTATGAAGCTATGTCCGTCGAATAGACGGTCAATATTCATAGCGTGTGCAGTCTATATTGACATATCAATGTGGATAGGGTCTCCAGCAGTTGAGCGATTAGTTTGTTCCTTCAAGCGACGATGTATGCGTACGATACGATATTTTTTAGGGAAAAAATCATGCAC